TTTTAATTAAAATTGCGTATATTTGTTTTTTTTTTTCAAACAACCTTTTTTGTTTGAAAAAACAAATTTTTATTTAATTTTTGCTTGTGATTAAATCTGAAAAATAGTTTCATTTCGTATTATGATAATCTTCACAAAGTTTCACTAAATTATCATATTCACTCAATTATCATAGGCCTGACTGTAAATTTGTAATCATTCATTCTTAACTACCGCGTTTGCGTTCAGATTTTTATTTAGATCTTAATCGTATATTTATAAAGTTTAAATTAAAACCTTAACGCAAACACGGTAGTTAAGCCTGAATGCAGTTGGAACGTGACAAGTTGTCACTTTAAAAATGAGCCGCCACGCGCCACATGACGTATGCCTGAATCATAAAACAAGTTTATACAGTTTTATACACACACTACATAAATTCTTCGGCATCTTTGCTCTTTTTATAATTTTTCTTTGACCAACAATATGCCTTTTTTATAGGTAGGCTTCAAAGAAAGATGACTGATCGTGGACGATACCGCTTCCTACGAAGTGTCTTCACGTGATTTATGATATAATTCTTGCCAATCATTGTTGTTCAAAAAATTTCCTTTAGAGTCACAAGCTCAACAAAAGAGACAACTTAACCTTGACATATTTTTGTATTATTTCTGTCAGTATTTTGATTTTAAAATGGCACAAAATTACTAATTTCGGACGTAAATTACAACCATTCTAAAACTATTCCATTCAAATAAACAAGTGGGGTGCACGAAAGAAGCCTCACCATACGACATGCCATTTTTTTCCTGTGTTTTCCTATGTGTCGAGCCCTGGGCAATAATCGGCGAGTACCCTTAGGGTGCGTACAGATCTGTCGAATGAGTCCCGAACGCGCTGCATGTGCACGCGTGCTGCATGCGTGCAGTTAAATATATTTAGTTAGTACATGTGGCGCGCAAGCGGCGCGCGTACAGATCTCACTACGAAATGCGCGTGCGTAGCTCGAGTCTTTCGCAAACAAGCGTATTTGCCAGATTTGTAAGCACCCTACGCCAATTAACAAATCATTTCACCACGATGGCAATCATTAAAGTGTACGCCATATATACGATAAAAAATAATTATAATAAACAAGGATTTTCAATTCGGTAGTATATAACGAGAAAGTAGGTTTAATTACAAATGGACTAAGTGGAAGTAGAAGTATTTGTTTCGAGAACTGTTCGCCATTTTCTGCAAAATTTTTATATTCAAAGATTCAGCAAAGTCACGAATTCGGTTTCAATTACAAGATTGAAATCGTGAAGATGTTTTCCTAGAAACGAGGCTACAGTGAAAATTACTACAATTTAAATTCCTTTTTTGGATTTTTCTATAATCTTTAATTTATTACAAATGTTCTACAACAAATATGCTAAATATATATAATATTATAATAACTCAAAGTGATACTTAATTGTAGATCCACTTTGATTCTGTAATGGTTAATAAGAACGAGAAAGGTGGCATCAGGGTTTTAATTTTATTTAAAAACTGACATATGAAGGGATAATTCTATGAGATAAACAAAAATAGAACTGTTCAATCTACACCGAGAAAATCGTACAAAGTTTTGAAAGTGTGTTAATAACTGAATTTAAATAAGTATGATAGCACTATCCGAACCATAGAAGTTGAGATAAGTTTGAAAGTCTTTCTGATTCTGAACATTTTGTACCGTATATCCGGGACATTGTCCAGAAACTTTTCGTCCCCCTTTTCACTCCATCCTTACCCAGGTGCTATAAATAAGCATCTCCCGCCGTTAGCTCGAGATAACTCTGCTTTATTGTAATTTTATGCGTCACATTAGCCTCGCTAGAGAAATGCATATAGCGTCCAGATTAATTATCAACCTCCACAGACTGTGAATTTGGGTTGTGAATTCTTTGTGCTGAGTTGGAGAATTTATTACGACGTAGCACAGGCAAAGAAGATTTGCCTTAATCTTTGTAACTTTACGTATTCATGAGCGTCCTTTTCGATTAAAGACTGAACACTAAAGTACATAACGTTAATACACAACTTTATGGATCGAATTAAAACGCAAAATAACTTTATAGAAAACGTTTTATAAAAAACAAACACTTAATTTCCAACACTTTATTTTTACAACGAAACATTTTCGTACACCATAGGACCTTATTATCTAGACATTTACAATAATGGGTCATTTTGGCGATAAGATCAACTACAAAAATGCAAATTCCTTCATATAAACTCCGTCGATCTCTTAATTAAATAAATTTTAGTCTCACTTAGGACATTATTTAATAAAGGTTACTTCCACATGATGGTAATATTTGTACAGGGATTTAAAGGTAATGAGACGTTAGGGTGCCAATGGTATGAGGTATGGAAAAATAAAATTATTTTTTTAAAAGATAGAGGTTTAATACAAGAAATTAAAAGTTGGCTGTCTGAGACTCAGTGGAGTGAAAATCAAATATTAATTGGCAATGACTCTGTAGTATATAATATAAAGTCGTGATAGCCTAATAGTTTGACCTACCGCTTTTCAAGGAAAGCTTGTGGGTACGAGTTAAGTGCGAAATTTAATTTGAAACTCACCATGAGCTTTGCGGTGACGGAAAACATCGTGATGAAACCTGCACGTCGAAGAAGGTTCGCAACCCTCGGAAAACGTGTACCCAACCCGCATTGGGCCAGAATGGTGGACTATGACCTAAACCCTGCCTGAGAGGAGACTCGTGCCCAGCAGTTGGATATATAAATGTGTTAATGTTGTAATGACTCTATTGGAGAGTCGAAGTTTCTGGGTTTTTCTTTATCAGATGTATTTTGAAGACTGCGCGCAGGAACTGTAAAATTTAGTTACATCCGTACTATTCCTCCTTTGATCTATTACAATGTCCAGAACACTCCGTCCTTACGTTATTGGCTTCCAACCCATTCACATGAAGCGCTTTGTTTCATTTCCCAAGCGCGTACGGTAAAGGAATGAAATACCCTACTGGTTGTGCGTCTGTGTGTCCTAGAAGCTACAATTTGAGCTATTCAACGCTGAATGGATTGGCAGATAATGAACAAACGCATTGTATGCCACATCGCCGGTTACCATCAGGTAAGGTTGTGTATTATTATGAAATGGCAAAGATAAGAAACAAAGTGAACAAATAGGTTGCATGTCGGCTATGTTTAATTTAACAAATACATATTTATATGTAATTCTATTGAACTGAGGGTGTTACTACTCTTAGGGTCTTCACTTGTGTCTTTATAACGCTAAAATAGGTGATGAATTCAGTTTCGGAAATAAAAAGTTAAGGAAATTGGACAAAGGAAACGTGTACATTCTGGGTTCTAATGTCGAGTAAGTTTCACAAAATCTGGGATTTATAATACTTAACTGTTACAGAATATTTATTCGCTATACATTGATTGACGCACCACTGCAGACATGTCTCCGTTACTACGCACGAGTCTCTTCCAACGGTGCACGGGGGCGAGCTCGTGCAAAGTGATCAATAAAATCAAGGACCATGAGAAGCCCCCTTTATAAAGTGGTTGCAGTCTTGCAGTGACATCAGAAGCAGACTAGACACGAGGATCATCACTTTCATTTCATTAAAAGGTTTTTGTTTATTTTACCATCCTGATTTTAGGCCTATTCAGTTATAAGCGATATTCGCTATGTAGTAACATGTAATATTCCGTGTGTGTATTTGTGTAGCTAAAAATACCGCGTGGTATCCCTCTGGGAAATTTGTATGAAGTTCCGGGACTAGAGTGAAACAGAGAATTCGCGCCATACCACCTAAGTTTTAGTAGCAGTAGAGCTCCTTGTGAACGAGTTCGTCCAAGTAAGTACTGCCACCTTACCTATTTCTGCCGCCAAGCAGTAATGTGAGCATTACTGCGTTCCGGTTTTGAAGCGTAAGGGTACTGGTGAAATTACAACAACATGGGACTTGTCAACTTATGTCTCAGGGTGACGGGCGCAGTGGCAGTACCCCTCAGATCTTTGCGATTTAAAGTTCTGAGCTGCACTGCAACTGTTATGGACAGGCATGTCGCTTACCATCAGGCGCACGACTGGCTAGTTCCGGCACTTGATATTATAAAAAAAAGGTCGACGGTGTATTTTCGTAACGGTAAATCCGTCCCCTCCGCACACCCCGCAAGTCAGTTACTGACGATTAGTGGATTTCAAGGTCTATTACGTCGAAACAGTCAATTGACAAATTTATTGACATTACATGTTACATACCGGCACTGACAACACAGAAGCGATTATCTAGACGAACGAAAATCTAGAAAGTTTCGCTACCTTTAGCGGTTTAAATTTTGAACAGCAGGAATACCGCATACCCATTCGGATCTCGCTTCCCAAGACGGTAGCGAATATCGCGTATATGCATCTGAAGAGGCACCTAGATCATTAATACCATAGTTGCTTTCATGATTTAAATAGCGTTCAAAAGCGGTTTCAAAACCGCAGTTGAAAACTTGACCGTTTATCTACCATAGTTACAAATGCCTGAGGCAGTATACCTTGTCCGTACAAGTTCTGTTTCAATAAAACGCGCCTAGAAATACTGATGATATATCTATTGAGTCATCGTAAACTACAATTTCTTTATCAATACACAATGGTTTTAGTAATGTTCTAATGCTTAGAATACTATATTTTATTTTGTTACAATTTGATTGCGGTGTTTTACTTAGACCCAGACTTACCATACTTCTGCTTTATGCGTCTTAAGAAAACAGCTGTCACAAATTAGAAAAAAAAATGAAGTTTTAGCATTTGTAGCAGATAATACTTAATGTATATGGGTAACACACTTTGAAGTGTTGAATAATTTTGATATGACTAGCTTCGTGCAAAATTATTTACAGCAAAATCTTATATTAACTAGAATGTACAAGTTCGTTAATGTTTCATTTGCAAAGGTTTATTTTTAATTAATTAAGTATCACTATAGTCTATATTACAAAATTAATTACGCTGGCATCAATTTAACATTCTTTTAAATTAACATAATAAATAATATTTACATTCAAAGTAATTACAATGTCAGTATCAATTTAACTTAGTTTAATAGACGTAAAAGAATTTATTTTAAATTAATTGTGAATTAAATGGTTATTAACAAGTTGAACTATTGTTGATTAGATACTCGTTCAGCACATGTGTTGTGCTGAACGATCAATATATTTATTATTCTTTTGCTTCAATGAGAAATAATCAATATTACACATAAGTATATATATAATAAACGAGTAATTTATAACATTTCTTCAACAACCATAAATTTCAACTTCACAAAAGTTCATTTACACAGTTCAGTCTGACTTTACTAAGTATTTAGTCCAGGTAATCCAGTCACGCATTGAAAACCATAATCAGGAGAATAGTATATACAATCCAGATTAGAGGTCGTCTGCGGAGGGCGCTATCGTGAATGGGCGGCCAGCGATCACTCCAAGGGGCGACGTCGCGCCCTGCCTCCGGTCACATAGTTGTTATCATTTCTGTTCACATAATTTGTTGTTTGTAATATGGCTAAACAATTTCTTAAATAAAATTTGTGTTTTAAACAGAAACTTACCAAGATTCTGCATTTGGTGTTGGCTAAGGATGATGTATGGGTTTTCTAGCCCAGGGTCTTCGAGAACTCCTCGATGGAGCTGCTCTAGGTGTCTTTCTACATCATCTGAGAAAATTAAATAAATAAGTAGCAATTAAAGCACGTCTGAAGCGCTTTAGTAATTTTTACTTCACCAATTGTGACTACAAAAGTGGCGCGCTTGTTACGATGACAGTGTGCTGCCATTGCGCTTCTAATGTTGTATGAAAATTAATACTGACGCAGCTGCAGCGCCACAGAAATGCCACTGCTTCTATAAGCATCTAATAATAAAGTGTCCTTAATTATATTATGTTAACACAGTTGAGTCAGATTTAAAATTACTGAACGTAAGATAAAGCGGCTCGAAATCTACGTTAAGAAATTATCTGTAAACGATTTGTATTCCACACATATCCGTAACCAGTCGAAATAAATCTTTGATTGATTTACGATCTCTTTGCATAAAATAATACATATAATATCTTTTATACAAAAGGCAACCCTGATGTGAAAAATTCTGCCGCGGCGCAATGTAAGCGTCAACGTAAGCGTAAACAAATCTGGTTATGTCGCGAGAACGAGCATAAAGCCGCATAAATGAGCATATATTATACATATATTGCTTCGAATGTCTGATCTTATTCGATCACATGGTAATATTATATGTATTTAATATTCATAAAAGCGAGACGGGCGAATGTAAATAATAGCAGGGAAGAGAAAACTTGCTGTTCAAGCGGAGGACTCGTATATCTCTAGATATCAAAACTAATTAATTCTATTCGTGGTATAGTAGGATTTCAAATCTTAAAATAACGCTATTGTTGAACTTTAATTAGGTTAATTTGCAGGAATTAATGATATTATAAAATCGTTATTTTTAGTTAAAGAATTAATAATAAGTGGCATCATTGTTTCCCAATGCGAGAGGAATTTCCTGTAGGTTTCTAATAATATTCTCAATCATTATAGATATTTCGTTCATAAAAACCTGAAAAGTTGTAATTTTTACAGATATGGCCTTATTCCGCCAAGGGTGCGACTTGTATAGAAAAGTACTGACACACATACATCTATGAAAAACAAAAACTCCTATTTACAAACGTTTACTCACAAGGTAATAAGGTAGTGGCCGGTGGAGTTGTGGTCGTAGTGGTGGTTGTAGTTGTTGTGGTTGTCGTTGTAGTCGTTGTCGTAGTAGTCGTCGTCAACACTGTTCGAAATCACAATTTATTTCATTTAATTTAATATGGCTAGCAAACAAACAAACTCTAACTACTTAGCCTCAAAATATATTTTCATATATTACACAGCTGTATTCTGTTGTGAATAAGACACGAGCTTTCCAGTGGTCAAACAATCGCGTGACAATATTGGGTCGTTATACGATAGGTCTTTTGCGCACCGACACATTTCAGAGTGACGCCGCACGACGAGTTGCGTCAAAGTCATATAATAATTTATTCCATGGGTAAAATTTTTACACTCGAAAACGTCATTTTTTAAGCTATAGCTCGTAGCTGAGAAGAATGAGCAAGAAACTGTAGGGATTGCTCTTTTCAAATAAACTTAAATGCTATAGAATACAATTTGAATCATATTTCTCACGTTGTCTTTCCTTCTTTATCTAATAAGTAGTCTACCATTTTGTAATATCACTTTTCAATTAAAATACTTTTGATGTAAGTTTTAAACTTAGGAAATAGTAATCTTAATATATTCCGGAATCTTATTGTAAAAAAGTATACAATTCGTTTAATACCTAATCGTTTGCCTTAGTTAAACAAAAATGTGGTACCATGAGTTTGGACTTAGTTCTAAGGTTAATATTATGGATATCTTCGTTCTTGACGAAATTGTGTATATTTTACGGGCATACAAAATATTTGAGTAAATGTACTGTGATGCTACAGTCATGATACCAGTCTCCTTAAACTTATCTCTGAGAGAAATCCGAGAACCTAAACTGTACACAGAACGAATCGCTTGTTTTTGCAACACAAATATGGTTTGTATATCTGCCGCTTTACCCCACATGAGAATCCCGTAGGACATTATACTATGGAAGTAACTAAAGTAAACTAGTCTAGCAGTAGCAACATCGGTAAGTTCACATATTCTACGGCTTGCCTATGAAGCAGAGCTTAATCTGCTGGCCAAGGAAGATATATGTGGACACCATTGGAGTACTATCTAAGGTCACCCTCAAAAACACAGCTTTATTAACAAGGTCTAACTTTTCTCTATTTATTTCTATGATTGGGCTAGTCGATTCTACATTGGGTAATTCAAATTTACCACATGCTCTCTACGCGCATTCATTCGCAACATGCGTGTTGTGATTCGTCGATTGTCGGCTTTTCGACAAACACCTTGAGTACGCGCATGACTGTCCATAGATGTTCGCGTTGCATTGCATCTTGCGTTGCAAACGTCGACTGCACAGCCTCTAGACCCCTTATAACAGACGAACGGTGTCTCTCAACTTATCTGACTAATAAATCAGATATAGTTTAGTGACACAACGTTTGGTAAGATGCAACAAGGTCCAAGAGTCGTAAACACTACTGCAACAGCACGTAAAAAAAATTGCAACTTGTATTATAGTAGTCCCTTTACAATAAGATGATGTGATAAAACAAGTCAAACTTCGAGTTTTCAAAAAGATGGGATTTAATTTCACCTATAAGTAATTATTTTGCATTATATTTTGTTGCTAATTATTACACAACAGTATACATCGGAGGTCATCTTTCACTGGTCGGTTTTTTGTAGAACAAAACACGTCGATGATAGGTGCATCCCTTTTTTTTCTATGCATCTAATTGCGCTGTTTCTTTTTTCATTTCCTTCAAGTGTGTAGCTAGTGATGTGCCGATTTTAATTAATAGTCGTAACGATGATGTTGTTTTCATGAGTAGACTATTTACTTTTCTAGTGGCAAGCAATCAACTTTTGTATCATTTCATCAAATAACCGAGATATTGTCAAATAAATAATATGAGTTCAAGTAAGTAATATGAGTTCAACAAGTAAGTAATATGAGTTTCATAAATAATATGAGTTCAAATAAGTCATCGGACCGTGATCTGGTGCGTATGTCTGATTTAAAGTTTGCTATAGACAAGGTATCCCTGCTAATATCAAAGTTGCGTAACTTATATGTAACTAGTCGTAGTTTTCCTAGTAAGTTAAAAGAGGCTATAGTGCGTCCTATTTATAAGAAAGGTAATTCTAAAAAATATAGTAATTATAGGCCTATACCTATTTTATCCAAAAGGCCTATACCTATTTAACAAAATTGTAGAAAAATTTATAGTTAACCAACTTGGAAATTATCTACACAAAAACAATGTTTTAAATAAATGTCAACATGGCTTTCTAAGTGAAAAAGCACTAACATTTTGTTGTGAATCTTTGCTGATGAAATTAACAACCATTTAGGCGAAAAGAATACTGTGTTTGTTGTGTTTTTCGGTTTTAAAAAAGCGTTTGATACGTTACAAACGAATGACTTGTTAAATGCAATGGAGGAGTATGGGGTTGATGAACCATTGAACAAAATGTTCCGTGATTACCTAATCTTCCGTTGTTATAGGGTTATGGTGAGTAAAGGGTATAGTGAAGGAAAACAAGTCAAGTGCAGGGTCCCTCAGGGTTCCGATTGCGGACCGGTGTGCTATCTGATGCATGTCAACAGTTTATGTAGTAGGTTGCGATATTATACAGCATACATGTTCGCTGATGACCTTTGTGTGCTCCGAGAAGGTATAGATCTCGAAGAGACCAGTCGTCTCGTTCAACTTGATGTAGATGCAATTGTCAAGTGGAGCCACGATAATGGAATAGTACTGAATGCTGATAAAACTAAATTATTAGAGTGATACACTCTCCCTATATGCCTTTAAAGCAACCTTCTGTCCCATACTCGCCCATTTATTTGATTGTGTACACAGTAATTTCAATAATTGTAGTTGCAAGCCTATAGAAAGGGTCAAATGTGTCACTTATCTCGGTATGAAAGTAGATGAATATTTTTCTTGGTCTACTCACATTGATTTTTTTATAATAAGCTTAGAATATTGTTGGGCAAATTTAAGTTTTAAAGTACTAGCCAGCACATTAAAGTGTTTATATATGACATTGGTTGACTCCATACTAAGTTATGCTCTAGATTGTTATGGACTTACATTTAATTCATACACAAACAGACTTGAAAATATGCAAGTTAGATTTTTGGATCTTCTTGTAAACAATAAAACTAAAGAAAAATGTAATGGAGACTGCAATAAATTATATAAAATTTGTAAAATCCTACCTGTTAGCTTAAAACACAAATATCTGATAGCTGTTAACAAGTTTGAAGCACAGGAGTGTAGCTCTTATTTGTATCCTGTTATCAATAACTGTAACACAAGGTAAATTTGTAGTACCAAAAGTTAATAATTACTATGGAGATAGAACTCTAAAGAAACGTATTCCATAGTTACTAAACAGTTTGCCTGAGGTTATTAGACTTGAACCTAAGAAAAATAAACTTTTGTTTCAGCATTTGTTGTCAAACTTAGAGTAGATTATTGTTAAAATACGTGTTAGAAAAAATATATGTATTCATAGCTATAAGATTATGTATATAAAAGCGAGATTCATTTGATTTCACAGTCAAACTGAATACTCAGTTTTGTGGGACTATTTATTTATCTAAGGGAAAGTGTAATGTTTTTATATATATTAAATAAACTAATAAAAAGTTATGTAATAAGTTTAGTTCACTTTGAAATGCTTTTTTATTTAGTACATTGTTAGTTTGGTATTACTACTATGAAATCAATATTATGCATTGTCCTGTTTTAATCTAGATAATATGTTCCTACCAGTATAAATACAGCACAGTAGGACTGAAAGTAAGAAGAAATTAAGAACAAAGTTTCATACCAACAAGTTTGCCAACTTAGTCGGTATAAAATATTATGTTCTTATTAATTTAATATGTAAATAAACTGTGTTACGAGTAGATAATGCTACAATATCTTTATAATAATACAATCATTAAAGAAATAATTCAATTCTATTTTTATAATTAATTAATTCCATTTTATCGATAAACGTAATTCAAAATTTACACTGTTTCATCCCTATGACCTTGATTACGCCAATCAGAACGAAGCATCCCGCTTCACCCTATCTTTTTCGGGAGGAAAATCCGTTATGGATACCACCGCGTCACGGGGAGGCGCGGTGGTAATGTGAGACTCTTACTCACTAAAAACCCCCGGGTATTCCCACACCCCGCGTGTGACGGGGCTAAGGCCACGTGGTTTACGATCCACGGCCCCGTCTGCGGTTGTCCGCCACCGCGGACTCACCCCTGGGGCATCACTATTCCTCCATCGTTAGTGGCATGCCGGGAATACTTGGCACACCAACCAACCCGTGAACCCTTATCTAATGGGGTCACTCAGAGCGGGTGTTAGCGGGCATAAGCCAGCCGCCTGCGCCCCAAGCGTTTGCGGCGCATAGGATAAGAGGTAGGATCTTCTTCTCGCTCCCATTCTGCTGCCTCCTTCCGCGACATTACATCAGCGCAGAAAGAGGCTACCGCACTCCAATCCCGCTTTACCTTACCTCAATTGATCGACAGAATGAATTCCGTGCAAAAAATCATATAGGCGCCTATTGGCTGTATCGTCGAAGGTAATAACCACCACACTCAACAACCACAACCCAGGCAACCAATGAAGGGAAAACCGAAAAAGAAACTCGTATCTGGAGCTGCGTCGTCAGTACCACCGAGACAAGTTGATCAGTGCGACGAGGACGGCTTTCGGAAGGTGGAAAAGAAAAAGAAGAACACCAGCCGAAACCTTAGTGCCACCGCCCTGCCTGGCCCGAATCATTTATTGCGTCCAGCGGTACCGACGACGTTGTTATACGTGTCGCGTCTTCATTACTCCACCAAGTCTGCGGATATTGTAGAGTACACGCGAGTGAAGGCCAACGCAAACCTGAGGGTCGAGCGGTTGGAGTCGCGCCACAATGTGAATTTTAATTCATTTGTGGTGCGAGTACCAACTCAACACCTGTCGACCTTCATGAGAGAAGACTTTTGGCCGAAGGGTGTCATGTACCGGCGTTTCCGAGGACGGCTACCGGACACCCACGTTGCGTCACACGTCGAAGTACATACGTGTAAATAAATAGTGTTATATGTATATTATCATGTTATATTGTATTTATGATTAGTCCGTAAGGTATTTATTTAATATTTCTGTTATATTATTGTTAATTATATTATATGTATGTTAGTCTCTAAGGTATGTATCTATGGGTCCTAGTTGCCTGAAATAAATAAATAAATAAATAAATAAAAAATAATCTGTACGGAGCTTAAGGGGTAACAATGTGGAGCGAAATTACAACTACATGCCTTATGGTGCGTTGAAACGCATGCGCATAGGACACTGCGATGCGTAAGGAAGCGGCATTACGTTGCGACACCACATTGCTCATGTGGCACTCCGTGCGTTGAAACATAGGGTAGCGACGACGCAAGGCTCCGGCAGGGCCCGCGTGGTATCGCTCAAAGTTGGGTTTTTTGTTATTATTTATACGTTAACTGGAAGTACTAACACTAGGAAAAATGTACATAATTTTGTTTATTGGTTTAACCAGGAATCGAACTCAAAATTATTCAGGCAGAACACTATGCGGATCTAATTTCATCATAGCTACAAAATTGCCACATCACTTCTGGAGGCACATATCAAATATAAAAGTTGTTATAATAAATAATTTTAACGGTCATATTATTGAAATATTTCAAAAAAGTCGCTTTCATGAAAATATTTTACACGGTAGGTAGTACCTTTATTTATTTTTCAAGATAAATCATAAACATCTCCATCGTCCAAAATTTTGACGACGTCTTATGAATTTCAAATAAATTTCGCAAGGGCACTTTCTACTGTCATTAGTTTTTATTCGATTTGTGTCATTTTGTAAACCATTGGTAATTTTCATCCATTAAAAAAATTACCAATTCAGGGGCTTACAAAAAATGCCTTAACATTATTATTTGTACACTATCTGAATGCTCTTATTTACCTAAATAATTTACAGTATCTGCAGATAGCTATTACTGTCTTATGTATCAATAAAAAATATAAGAACAACTAAAAGTATGTCAGCAGAAAACAGAAGAGCTCATGAAAACTTTTATAGACAACAATAGTTTCGTGGACTGTTGTTTCCCAATGTTATTTTTAGTACCAGTAAAACTGCGACAACGTATTACCATTTCCTTTCTTTTGGTTTTTCTAAATTAAAGATGAATATTTATCTGGTTTTTTTTATCATGACGTACTATTGTCTATTTTACCACCACGATCGATTATCGACTAATTCTTTCTTCTGGAAATTAATTACATGGCAAATGTTATATAAGTAGGTACTTTGTACTTACTGTGCAAAAACAGTTCAGCTTGAGCTCTCCCTTGGTTGTTCTCGACATGGCACCTGTATGCTCCCGCATCGTCTCTTGATATATTGATGACAAGCAGCGTCAATGTATGACGGTATCCTCGGGAAGACATGCTGAAGTGGTGCTTAGTACCTAGGATAATAATATTAGTGACAAATTGTACACTTAGCTACAACTAAATAATTATACTGTTTCGAGTTCTTAGGTTTTCACGATTAATATGAATTATACTGTTTGCTTGACAACTTTAAGCTCGACCCTTCCGTGTAATGCGGAGTGCGGGATAGATTTATTCCAGTAACCATGATAGCATTTACCCTCGCGCGTTTGTGGGAACATTGTAGCAGTAAAATTTAAGCATTCTGCATTGTAGCTGGATATATTATCTAACGGTCTTTTATTTATTATCTACGTCAAAATGTACATAATATGAAAGTAGTAGCATTAGAGCTCCTTGTGAAAGAGTTCGTCCAGGGAAGTGCTGTAACCTTACCTATTCCTGCCGCCAAGCAGTAATGTTAGCATTACTGTGTTCCGGTTTTGAAGAGTCAGGGTGCTGGTGAAATTACAGTCACATGGGAGTTGTCAACTTATGTCTCAGGGTGTCGGGCGCAGTGGCAGTGCCCCTCAGATCTTTCCGATTTAAAGCTCTGAGGGGCACTGCAACTGTTATGAACAACCGTGTAACTTACCATCAGGTGCACGACTTGTTTGTCCCGTCACTTAATATTATTTAAAAAAGGGGTTTCATATCTTATCATAAAAGTTTATCACCTTCCGTGATTTTTTTTTCAAGTTTTCACCATTATTATTCGGGTAGGCAAAGGTTCATACAGCCTTGTCGTATATTAATTTTTGTTTTATTTTTCATTATTTCCGCAAAGGTCATTATTTCCGTAAACATACGGCCAATTCTGGGTGAATTTTTCTATGATAGATAGTTTTAGATAAATAGCAGTATGCCAAGTTTATTCCATTATTTTTTATAAAGGCATTAAGCCTCGTCTTCGGTGGGTCATCATTTCAAAATGGGGACAATTAAGGGTAGAAAGTTCCAATTCCGGAAAAGTTTTAATTCCGGAAATACGTCAAATGCAATGATCGTTTAATCGATTGACGGTTTGCATACCATGAACAAAATGAAATACCTAAATTATTTCTGACGTACGTTATGTAGCTTGAACAATATCTACAAAGAGTAACTTTTTAAAGCTGTTAATTTGAGAACTTTGGATGTGATTATAATTATTGTTTGTATCTCAAGATATGTTGAACCGGCAGTTAT